TTTTAAGATTGTCATTTTCATTTTATGTGTAAAAATTTTGAAAAGGGATGCGTCAGCTATTGTCCTCATTTTAAGGGAATCTTCATAATTCTTTTGTATTTTAGTTTTAAAAGCAAGAGCAGAAAAGCTAGAACAAATTGATTAGCCGCAGATGAATGCACCAAATCCCAAGGAGAATTTTATTTACTACTTTATATGAACAAGCACAGTTCACACACTCCCCCCACCACACACACACACACACACACACACACACACACACACACACACAAAACCCCTTAAACATTTCTTGTATTAAGGTTACAAATCAGCAGTCTTTGGAACTACAAAGATAAACTGTTCCATATTATTGGAAATTTATTGTAACTGGTGTATATATTTACTGTCCTTTTCCTTATCTACCTAACAAATTAATGGCTGCCCAAGAGGCATTGCTTGAATCATCTTTCAAGGTTTCTTATTGGAATAAAGCTTGTGACATAGCAGCCATTCGATCTTCCCAAGTGCAAGGTCACACGGCTTATATTACTTGTTCTTCAGTGTTGCTATAAGAAGGATTTTAGTGGTTTTTCTCTTCCCTCTTTTCATTCCCTAGCAGCAGTTATCTCTAGCCTTGATTTTACATTTTAAGGTGCATTATATTTGAATTTTGCTTCAAAACTTTGTTTGTGATACTAGGGATTGGGCCAAGAGATTTTGCACCAAGCTACATCCCCAGCCCTTTTTGTTTTTTATTTTGAAACAAGACTCACTAAATCACTAAGTTCCCCGGGCTGGACTTCACCTTGTGATCCTTTTGTCTCAGCCTCCCCGGGTGCTGCTGGGATTGTAGGTGTGTGCCACCATGCCTGGATCATAACTATTGTTACGTCCTCTGCTCTGAGGTCAATTTTAGGAGTTAAAATTTATAAACACGTACCTTATGACTGTCTAGTGCTTATTCACTTAAGAGTGGGCACATTAGGATGCTGATGTGATCCTTATGCTCTTTAGGGGAAAATGTTTCTAATAATGTGGTAAAACCGGTTAACTTTTCTTTTATTAAGATCATGTCACATTTTAGTTTACTTTATATTTGTACCTTGACTTTCTTATTCATTTTTCCTGAGATTCAATAACTTCTTTTCCTTATTACCGAAATGAGCAGTCAGCTTTTCCCTTAAATTTGTTCAGAGTGTTAAGCACAGTGCCCATTGTGAGTCCATTTCTCTCCAGCAGCACCCTTCCTGGGGCTTTCCTCCTTCTGCTTCAGTCTCTACTGCTTTCTCTGCTGCACCACTATTTTCTGAAGTCCCATGTTTTCTCCTTCCTGGTTTATATCTTCATTTTGTTGAAGTACATACTTTTATGGTCTTCTCCAAAAGGATGTGGGGGAGGTAGTTTCTGAGCTCTTGGTTGATTAACTTTACTTTCACTTAACTGGTAATCTGGCCAAAATCCTAGTTTAAAGTAATTTTCACTCAGAGTTTTGAAATCAGTGCCCTACAGTTTTCCAGCATTGAATGTTGCTGTTAGGAAGTCTGATACCAGTCTAATTTTTGTCCCTGTGTCAGTGCTCAGTATTTATCTTTGGCAGCATTTAGACTGTCTCCTGAAAATGAGCAGTAGTGTATGTAGGTGTAGATTCTTTTCCTTCTCTACACTAGATGTTTGGTGGGATCTTTCTGATTAAATGCCTGTGTCTTCAGTTTGAGGAAATTTACCTTCTATTACCTACCTGGTTATTTTATTTTTCTCTTTGGAACTTCTGTCAGTTGTCTGTTGTAACCCAAAGACTTCTCTGATTTCCTGAAACTGTTCTGCCCTTTATCTTTCCATTCTAAATGCTTGGACACTTACCTAACTTTGTCTTTTGGGCTATATTGATCAGCTTTTTGTCTCTGGGACAAATATCTGACATGCATAACTTGTAGGAGCAAAGGCTGACTTTAGCTCAGCCCTTCGGAGGTTCCATTTCAGGGTTGGCAGGTTGAAATGCAGAAGTGGCATGTGGTGGCCTGGCCTGGAGGAGAGCCACTCATGTCCTGCTGGTCAGGAAGCAGAGTGAAGGGAGGACCTGGGAGGGGAGATATACCCTTTGAGGTCATGTCCCTGGAGACCACCTCTTTAAGCAACCCCACCCTCTGGTGGCACATTTAGTTCTGACTCAGTGGATGGATTCACTGATGAGTATGGCGCTCCCGTGACTTGATCTCTTTCCAGACACATGAGGGTTTGAGGGGACGTCCCAGATCTAAACCATAACACAGAAAAAAGTTGTTTACCTCATGGCAGCCAGAAGCATAGAAAGCGGGGAAAGAGCCAGAAAGAGAGACATCCCTTCCAGGGCACATCTCCCAGGGACCCTGCTCCTCCAGCTCTGAACCTATCAGTGGGTTAATCCACTGGTGAAGTCAGTGCCCCATAATCTAGTCCCCTTCTGTAAGCTCTACTCCTGGAACCTTTTGGGGAATATTTTTAATTCAAACCATGACAAATATCTATTGCATTTTAATTTTAATGATCAAATTTTTAATTTCCAATTGTTCTTTCTTGCTGAGTTTTTTTTCCATAGTATCTTATGTGGGTTTATTTTATTGGTATAATTTTTTTCTTTGGTGTGTCTGGAGCGACTGACTAGTATTTCTTCAGAAGTCTTCCTGCACCCTGATTTCTGTCGTCCTTCCTTGTTGGCTGAACCATTTCTATTTATGCAGAGATTTGCTTTGGGTTGCTGGTTCTTGTCACTCACTGGTGATTCTTGGTGGCTGACATGGACTCTCCTGCTGTAGAGTATTTGGGTCTGTTCCTGTCAAAATTGAAGACAGACTGCAGCATGCTTCTTGGGGCAGCTGGCTCTTCATTTGGCACACAATGTCCATACTAGCAGTCCCGGGTTTCCACAGGAAGTGTCTCAAGACCCTCTGGATAATATTTCCAAAGGTATCTTCACCACCTCTTTAACTGTATCATTTTTATTATCTTCTAGGTCCCACACATTTGTGGAAATGTTTCGTCTACTTAGAGTAGATGCAGTTCTCTTTGTTTATTGGTATCTATTAAGTTTCTTCCTTTATAACTCTTTTAATAGGATTTTAAGAAGGGAGGGGGAATACATAGAAAGAAAATGTGCCTACCAGGCCATTTTAAATAAAGAAACTTAAAAATTATTATCCCTACCTTTCAAAATGATCACTAGAAAATTAAGAAAATATAAACAAACAAAAAAGATATGTTATTCCATCACTCAAAAGAAATGTTAACTTTTTGGGGGGTGGGGGATACAAAGTCTTGCTGTGTAGTTCAGGCTGGCCTTGAACTCACAGCAATCCTCTTGCCTAGCCACCAAGTGCTGGGATTCTAGGCATACGCCACCACATTCAGCAACACTGTTAACCTTTTAAAACATGTTCTCTTGAGGCTGGGGATTTGGCTCAGTGGCACTTTGCCTGCCTCTCAAGCACAAGGTCCTGAGTTCAATCCCCAGTACTAGTAAAAAAAAAAAAACAAACAAACAAAAAAAAACAAAAACAAAAAAACACTTAAAACATGTTCTCTCTCTCTCTCCCTCTCTCTCCCTCTCTCTCTCTCTCTCTCTCTCTCTCTGTCTCCTCCCCACCAATGGTATTATAACACATGTTCTATTTTTTAATATGCCTCTTAAAGCTAAGCAAGAGCTTTAAATATCTTCCCACATCATAGCATATCTCTGACAGTATTCAAGACCTATTTGTTTGTTTGCAGTTCTAAGGATTAAAACCAGGGCCTTTGCACTGAGCTACATCTCCATCCCTTTTTCATTTTATATTTTGGGGTACAGTCTCACTAAATCACAAGGCTCAGCTCAAACATGCAATCCTCTTGGCTCAGCTCCCCAGAGTGCTAGGATTATAGGTGTATGCCATATATCTGGTTTCAAGACCTCATAACTATTGAAAGGTATTTCATTCACTTTGCCAATCCTCTTTTTTTTTGAAAAAATATTGTTTCTAATCTTCACTACTCGTACTCTTGACTCCAGATAAAATCCTAGTGGCAGACTGTCCAGGTCCAAGTGTAATCAGGCCCCAGTCCTGGCCTCTCAGAAATAGCCCCATTGTCCCTTTCTAGCCCCAGACTTTTACTTCTCTGCAAATCCCTGAAGCGTTATAGCAGAGGCATTAAAAGCCGACTTTCAGAGTCAGGCAGACCATTGCTGAATGGTAGCTTTGGTACTGGCTACACGTGGGAACTTTGGCTGTTTTAATGAGCCTGTTTGAGTACTTTTCTATAAAGTGGGGAAATAATTCTACTTTTCTGATGTGGTTGTTGTGAGAATCAAACAAGATAAAAAAATGCATGGAAAGCACTTTAACACAGCCCTGTGGGGCTGAAAGTGCTCGTAAATCCATAATGACGGTGTTGGACCCATCTGATCGCTAAGCGCTGTCAAAGCCCTCTTTCTAGGTACAATAGGGAGGGAGTTGTTAGACCGTCATGGGCTGGACCTTCATTCTGAGTTCAGAGCTCACTGTCCGCTGTTTCTACCCATGTGCATGAGTATGGAGAGGGACGTCTGTTCGCCCCAAACGTGCTGTTGGTCCCTTTAGAGAGCTCAGAGACTGAATGAGGCATCTGGTTCTGCCAGGTGCTAGTGTGACTAGTGGGCAGCAAAGGCAAGGACACCTGGCAGCAGGAGGCTGCAGGCCTTTGCTAATACTGAGCCGCTGTGGGGCATTGTCCCCTATGGTGTAGTGGGTCTTTGTGCATCTTGCCATCACCTCCCTCACCCTCTATACGTTGCACAGGGTGATGAGAACCTTCTTAGCTGGGAGGGTTTTCCTCCTAAGCATCGCCTGACCCACAAAGGTCTCTTTCATGGCTGGGCAGACACATTCTCAGTTGCCAGGGGAGATTGCAAAAGGGCTGAACGCAGAACTGCAGATGGGAGGGCTGCCAAGAGGCCTGGAGGAGAGGAAGGGCGGCCGAGAGGGTGACTCGGGAGCACCTGCTACACCCCACCCTCCCTCGGTGTCTTGCAGGAGTCATGGCGGGCTTCAACATGGGAGGCGACCTCCGGGAGCCCGCGGCCAGCATCCCCCTGGGCTCCCTGGCAGCCGTTGGCATCTCGTAAGTTCCCTACCGTCTGTCCTGGAGTAGAGAGAAGATCCCCTGCAGAAGAGGGGGCTGCCCCTTTTGTTCACAGAGCGCCCCAACTGTGGCCGATCTGCTTCATATTCGGATCTTCCTTTTAACACTCAGCGGGCTGGAAAATTCGCGTCTGGTGGGCTCAGACACTGCCTTTTCATACCTCCGGCCTGGGAATGCTGCCGAGGACTGTCGTTAATGCAGATCACAGACCAAAGCCTTTCTTTCCTTTTCCCTCCACCTCCTCCTGGTCCCTGCCCCTGCTCCTTCTTCACCCTCATTTTGAACCCGGGGGGGGGGGGACTTTTGTTTAACTGTTGACTTCCTGGGGCAGGTGGTGGGAGCACAGGAATGGAGAGTTTTGCAATCAGACAGATGAGGGTTTTCGTCCCAGCTCAGCCACTACTCCACTGAGTGACTTAGGACAGCTCACTTAGCTCTGGGGCTTTCACTTCCTTTTCTGTAAAATGGGATTAGTGACCCATGCCTGCCTGGGAGTGTGAGGGACACTGTGTAAAGGCATACAGTAAAAGCCCAGAGGTGACCCCCACCCCAGACTCCCCCAAAGCTGTCAGGCCTCTGCTACTCATGCTAGCGGGCTAGGTGGCCTTGATCTATTTCTGATCTTCTAGAATCTTCTGATTTTATCTCTGTACCGTGGGAGAAAGGAAGCTCTCTGCCTTTCACTGGGTAGGTGTGAAAAAGGCAGTGAGATCACAGACGACCTTGACTTGGGAAATTAAAAGTGCCTGTGTTGTTCAAACTATAAGACCTAAAGCATAGTAATAGGTCTATTCCGCAAATGCCAAATTTGCTCTCAGCTTCTGCAGTGGCACCACTGCTACCAGCCAGGCACAGGGCACAAGGCCATTTTGTGCAAAATGAGGCAGCAATATTAGAAGGTAAATAAAGGTAACAAGGATAGAATTGAGTGGTAGGGAGAAAAGAGGAACATACGTGATAACCCTGTTTGGTTTTTGGTCACAGCTGGGAGGCCTGGGTGGAAGGGCTTGGCCATTCTCTCTCTGCTCAGATGGAAGTGGAAAGACCATGTAACCCTCCAGGACCATGTGACCCTCTGGGACCATGTGACTTGTGCACAGTTACAGGGCATCTTGGTATATGTGCTGCCAAAGCAAGCACATTACAGGGCATCTTGGGGCAGAACTAGGCTGCTGCTTTGCCCTTCTCTTGGTTCCTCTCTGTTATCTGCAATCCATAGACCAGCCAGCCTTCCAGGTCCAAAAGATCCCTGGCAGGTTCTTCTGCTGGGAGAGAGAGGAGTGCAGGGCTACAGGTCAACCCTGACCTGAGCCATGATTAGAGAACTGGGCCCCACTTCTTAAAGCCCCAACACCCTTTGTGTGTTTTTCTTCCTTAATATAGAAGAAAAGATGCAGTAATGATATCCCTTTTTCTTTTTTGTACGAAGCATGGAGGAGAGAAATAGTACAAGCAGTGCCCTCCCAGGCCAGTTGAAAGGCTCTGTGCCCAGGCCTCTCCTTAATTTTGAGACATGTTCCAGTGGGAATCAAAAGGCTGAGAGGGATGGGGTAGGGATGGGGCAGGGCGAGGGCAGGTGGACACTCTACTCTATGTTTGGGTTTTGCAGATGGTTTCTGTACATCATCTTTACCTTCCTGCTTGGTGCCATCTGTACCCGAGAGGCCCTCCGCTATAACTTCCTCATAGCTGAAAAGGTGAGTGTGTCCTGTACTGCCAGGAGCCTCAGTCTCCTGGGGTCATTCACTTGTCTCCATCAGCCAGGGCTGCCTCCCCCTTGCAGTGCCATTTGGGGATCCACAGAGTCTCAGGTGGACGGAAGTTCTGGGGAGGCTGAAGTGATGGAAATGTGCAGGCTCTGCCTCAGGACATCTGGACACAGGTACCTCACCCCACGCAAGTGCAGGCAACCAGATCACTAGGACCTCTCTGCATGTTGAAAATCAGGGCCACAACAGAAGAATGTGGCCATAGGGCCGGGGATTTAGCTCAGCGGTTCGGTGGCCTGCCTTGCAAGCTCAAAGACCTGAGTTCAATCCCTGGTACCAAAAAAAAAAAAAGGAAGAATGTGGTCACTCCAAATTCCCAGCTCAACAAGCTCTGCATTTCTGCCCCTCCCCTCCCTTCCCCTGTGAACAGGAAGTGCTGCTTAGGACAAGCAAGCAGGAGGCTGTGGGACAGAGAAGGGGTGGGGAGGGGGATGTGATGGAGAAGCCCAGGACCAGGAGGCCCTGCAGGGGACTCACCCTCTCTCTGGGTTTCCAAGGAATCTCTGAAACTCTGGGTTGCTTTGGCAGCGACATCTTTGTATCTAGGGCACACACCCTGCCAGGAGATTAGCAAATTTCTTGTGTTCCTTAGCCACCTTGGTGGGCCAGAGGTCATGTGACATCAAGGACATTTATTTGGCACGACTCAAGCCAGGAGAATACTCCAGACTTTCTCTGAAAAAATCCCCCAAACTTCTGCCTTCTCTTAAATCCCTAGAGGAAAAGTGGATGCTGAGATTCTGTCATTTTCGGAGAGGTGCAGTCGGCTGGGGAGCTTTCCTCAGGTTAACTCTTAAGTACTCCTGCTTATGTTTAGATGGAACAGAATCCTTTTCTCTTGGGGGACGGCTTTGCCCAGCAGCTCTGCCAGCCTTCCTGGAAGGCCAATCCCTGCCTGGGGCAGGAGAGTGTGAATTTACTCTGGAGAGCTACCTTAGGTTTCCGCATTAGCATAGGTTTCTATTTAGGCCATGTACATACACCCTCAAGGAAAGGTGCTATTTGTTTTCAGGGACCTTGACCTTAGTAAATGCAAGTTTTAAATGATAGTAGAAGAGAAGAGCTGACACCCAGCACTAAGGTCTCAGACCCCTGGAACACAAGGGTTGCTCTCAGTAAAGGAATCTGTGCTCATCCTTGGTGTCCGAACATCTGGAGGTTTGCCTCCAAGGGCCCTTTCTCCCAGGTGGAGTGGAAGTTCACTGCCTTAGAGAAATGGAGGGCCTCAGGGAGCTGCAGATATGAGAAATATCTTTTTTATTTCTTTGTGTGGGGGAGGGAGGGGGTGGTACTGGGTATAGAACCAAGGGGCCTTCTATTGCTGACCTACATCCCCAACCTGTTTTTTTTTTTTTTTTCTTTTGAGACAGAGTCTTGTAAGTGGCTAAGTTGCCCAGACTGGGCTTAAACTTGCAGTCCTCCTGCCTCAGCCTCCCAGAGTGCTGGAATTATAGACATGTGCCACCGTGCCCAGCCTGAGTAGGATCTTCTGACTGGGGGCGCTGCTCGCTGTTTGCCTGTGACACATGGCGGGCTAACTCTTCCTGTTTCTACAGTTGTCTCCTTTCTAGTGGATTCCTCCATGGAGTTCCCTCCACCCATCATAGGCTGATCTGGACAGAGAACAGAATCTCCACATGGCATTTGGCAGGGCAGGCAGCCTTGTACCCAAAGGAAAGTCACAGTGCTGTGGGGTAAAAACCATCCTCAGAGACAACATGCAGGCACCTTCATGGGTGAAAATTCCACATCTAAAGATAGACATGAGAAGAGAGGGACCCCTCCTTGGTATGTGTGCCGCCTGTCCAGACAGAGACAGGGGTAGGCAAGCCCTTGGCCAAACAGCTGCACCTGCTGAGCCAGGCCTGGTCATAGTGTGCAGGCGTGTACTCACCTGAATACTTGTGTGAGAGGTGGAGATTTAGGTTTTGAAGAGGACGAGAGTCTACTTCTAGAAGAGGTACTGTAAACCCTCTGTAAACTAAAACGCCACTGTTCTCCATTCTCAGTCACAGAGTGAGGCTTGTGTAGGAATTAAGTGACCAGTGACAACAACCAGGACGGCCCCAAACTAGCAGCACCTGAGCTTCGGCCGCCCCACCAGGCCCTTCTCAAGGAGCTCACCTGGGGTCTGCCCCTGCCGTAGCCCTTCCTTGCTGCTCAGTGTCCCTCCTTAGGGTGGATTCAGCTGCATTGCAGGGACCACACTCACTGTCATCTGGGCCCTAGACGACAGTGTTGGATGGGGCCTGGACAACGAGAGGTGTGGCCTGGATAGGCAAGGGATACAGGGGTGGTCTTTTTACTTGCCACATCCTACCATCCTGATTTGGGTTGATAAACCACTCAGCTCTGGTTCCCATCTTTGCCATGGCCTTGGTTCTGAGCAGACCCATCTCGGAGAGGTCTGGTCCCCGAAGAAGCAAGGCCACATCTGATGGGTGCCCTTGCCATCACCTTCAGGCATGAAGACCCCACCCTCCAGCCCGATGTGCTCAACTGGAGGGTGCGTGGCTCACCTGGACCTCCTCAGGGCACGTCCCTCTCTTCCCCTTGGGGGCATCAGAGTTCTGCTCTTTGGTGCACACAAGCATCCTAGCTCCTTTCACTGATCCGCTGCTGTTCAGCTCATCTCTTTCCTTCTGGTTTTCCTGCAGCTTCTTTGATCTATTATGAAATGTTTGCCTTCCCAACCTATATTTACCCAAGAAGTTTCTTACTTCTCAGCGTCATCCCAGAGGAATTTTCTTCTAGTTCAGTAATAGGACAGTACTATGATGCTTTTAAAAGTCTTTAGTATATTGCAGTGCCTCTAAGATAACCTAGGAAGTCACTCTACCTAGCCTATCACTTGTGCTTGTTGAATTTTTTTACATCCTCCATACTGCTGATGGGGATTCTCTCCAGACAGAGATTTTTATTTTAGGGACACATTTTCTCTTTACAAACTCACTGTGTCTAATTGAATAGGAAAAACCAAAATAGTTAATCCAAATATTATTCAAAAATATAGAAAGGAATCATGTCAAGAACAGCATTAGTAGGCATTAAATAATGTTACTAAACAAACCTGTGTGCAGTGCAGGAAAGGATGTTTATTACAAATCAAAAGAGAAATCTCAAGAACCTCAGGAGCCCTGGGGCATGCTAATTAGCAGGAAAAAAAAAAAACTAAGTAGGGAAAATACTCAAAAAGTATCTTTTGTTAAAAGTGGCAAATCCTCCAGAGTAAACTCTAATCACTCTGGTCACGGCTTCTCATATCCAAGAGGACCTTGAAAGTCTGTGACAGAAGCCGTGCCTGGGAAGGTGGGGAGGGACAGAGCTTGTGGCCGGTGGAGAGTCCCAGTGCCTGCCCAGTGCCTGCCTCCAGCCCTGTCTGATTGTCCTCTGCTTGCAGCGCAGACACCGTGCAGCCTCTCAGGAAGTAAAGGAACCTCTGCCTTTTATGGAGAATGGCTAGCCAATGGGGGTGGGGGGAGCTGGGCTGAAGTTGAGGCGTTGGTCAATCTGCAGAGTAAGGAGGATGTCGGGAAACTTACTGTCTTTGTGGAAATATGATGAGGGAGAGGGTCGAAGGACTGCTGAGACATTGCCTCGCTGTTCCTGGCCTTGGAAGGGTTTCAGGGTGCACCCCTCAGTAGCACCAGAGGCAGAGGGAATGAGACGAAGCGAAACGAGCCCCTTGCAAATGATTTAAAACCCTGTCTGTATGAGTCACCTTTCCCACTTCTGGGAAGACAATACCCAACACCCACAACTTAAAGGAGGAGAGGTTTCATTTGGCTCATGTTTTGGGGAATTCTGTCCACCATCCACTGGCTCCAAGGCATGGTAGAAGAGCATGGCAGAGGAGAGCTGCTCAACACATGGCAGCCAGAAGCAGGAAGAGGAGGAGTTGGGAGGGAGACTGACCCTGTAAAGGTCAGACCCCAGTGACACACCTCTCCAGCCAGGCCCTGCTTCCTCCTGGCTCAGTCCACTGGTGGGTGTAGTGCCCCCATGATCCGGTCGCCTTCAAAAAGCCCTGCCTCTGAACCCGTGAGACTCTGCGGTGGGCATTTGAAACCCAAACCACGATACAGTCAGTCCTTCAAGAGAAGGGTGAACCTAGTGAATTGTTGGAGTCCCCCAGTGGCTGAAACTCAGAATGGGAGCTGGAATAAAATACCAAGAGCAGAGAGCTTTAATTAATTATTTTCATCAGTAGTTGCTGGAAAAAAAAAAAAACGCAGAAATGAGAGCAGTTCACACACCCATATCATATTTTGGAAAGATAGAGTTTTATATCATGATGCAGACAGGTATATGATACAGGAGCATTCAGTTTTCTTCTTGAAGAACTATTGACATATATTTGTTCAAGTAAATTCTTACATTCACTTCTACTGCACATTCAGCAGATTTTTTCAGTACAGTATGAATGAGAAAACGACTAAGCCTTTCAGGGTCTAGGAGCAGAGATGCATGGTTTACTGTTGTATTTGTAATGCCTGGCCCATGCCAGCAATATAATCATCCTCAGAAAGTGTTTCCTGGATAGATGGGTGGATGGATGGGTGGATGAGTGGGTGGGTGGATGGATGGGTGGTTGGGTGGATGGGTGGATGGATGATGAATGAATGGATGGGTAGATAGATGGATGGGTGATTGAATGGCAGGTATAAAGGAAGAGCTGAGATTCAAGTAGAATGAAGATAGAACAGGGTTTTGATAATTTGTCTGAATGTGAGGGCCAGCATTTCATTTACTTTTCATAAAACTGAGCAATAGTTTTATATATTTAAAAAATGGTAACTGAACAGGTCATTCTAAATACAACTGACAAATTGCACATAAACAAGTTGCTATATTTGGGCAATTACCCATCTGAAACCAGCCCCAAGGATTCTGGAGGAATCCCAGGGTGTGTCTGTGGAAGGTGGCCA